CCGTACCACCCAGTCCTATCCACTCCACCACTACCCATCCACCCATCCACCCATACACCCATCCACCCCATCCACCCATCCACCCATCCACCCATCCACCCATCCACCATCCACCCATCCACCCATCCATCCATCCACCCATCTACCCATCCACCCATCCACCATCCACCCATCCACCCATCCACCATTCACCCATCCAGCATCCACCCATCCACCTATACATTTGTCCATCCATCCGCCTAACCAGTCTTTACCCTCCAACCATCCATCATTCATCTCTCTACCCATTAGCCCACTGATCCATCCACCCATCTGCACTGCCATTCATTTACCCACTTACACTCCCATCCATTGATCCATCATTTTCTTCTTTCTCCAATTCATTCACTCATCCTCCCATTAAATTCACTCCTCCATGCAACCATCCATTGCCCTAACCACTTACCTACCCATCGCCTCTCCACCCACCCACCCATCCACCCATCATGCTCACCTTCCTCCAAATCTACTCACCTACCCATTCATCTATTCTTCCTTCCTTGTAGCCTTTGATTCACCTAACCACTTATCTGTCTGTCCTCCCACCCATCCATTCTCCCATCCATGCATTCTCTCGCCCATTTATCCACCTACCCATCCATCCATCCATCCATCCATCCATCCATCCATCCATCCACCTATCCATCCATCCATCCATCTTTCCTCTCATCCATCCATCTATTCATTCTCTCATCCACCCTCCTTCCATGGGACAATTACACCTTAGTTTCTGCCTTTGTGAAATGGAAATAATCAGGATGCTTTGTTAGGGCTGTTTGGAAAATTCAACAAAGATCCCTTCTGTAAAACACTCAGTACAAGGCCGGGCTCAGGTACACATTCTTTATATAGGAGTGACTCTGCTTCTTACTGTGGCCGCGGGCCTCTGTGTCCCCACAGCAAAGAAGGCAAGAAGAGGAAGACAGAGAAGGAGAAAAAGCTCAAGATGGAGAAGAAGGCCAGAAAGAAAGGAGAGAGGAGCTTGGGGGTGGAGGTGGAGGAGAACGGGGAGTCCAGGCACCAGGAGAAAGTCAAAAGCACGGCCATGTGAAAACAGCTCGCCACCTCCTCCAGGCAGCCCCCTCGAGCTGCCCCTTCCACACCCTAGAGGCAACGACCTGGGCCTGAGGCTGCTGCAGTGACTCCACCTGGGGCTGAGAGCACAGCACCCTGGATGAAGAGGCTTGGGACCTACCCTCCCCCACAAAGGAGGGCTCTTTGTGTGTGATGTGGTCTCTATGTACCCGGTTTCCTGATGTGTTCTGCCTGCTGATTTTTCTTGCATTTGGAGACCATCCCTGGTTACTGAGAATCCCCCACGCCCCCCCGCAATCTCATGGCTCCACCTGCCTCTACCTACTGCCTGAGCTCTTTCCCCACTGCCTCATATCTATTGGCCAGAACCCCCTCCCTCCCACTCAGTCTCAGGACCAGTATCGGCCAGGGGCTGTATCTCCGGGAAAAGCCCTTCAGAAGGGTTTCCATAATCCCTTAGGACTTAGCTTCCTCTGGGGAAGACAGCTTTAGGGGGCAATGCCCAGGCAGGTATGGGAGACCAAACTCCACGGCGCCCAGATGCCCTGCGCAGATTAAATTCTCCCCTTGCAATCCTAATTCTTCTGTCCTAAGCCCTGGACTTGGAGCCCCAGGGGCTGTCTCCTAGGTGATCCTTGCTCCTCCCGCCCTCAGTGTTTTGGTTCACGTGGCTCCGTTTCTGAGAACCGGGTCTTGGAGGGCGGGGTGCCCGAGGGCACACCACCTTGGGAAGAGACAAGCACTCTCGCCTCCCCCTCTCCAGCCTCCCCCCTCCTCACCTTCTCTGGGCCCTGGACCTTGCCCTGGACGTTAACCATTGCCTAGTGAGAACTCTGATAAAGGCTGGCACTTGGGGCTTCCTTGTGGAGCTTGCAGCTGGGGTTGGTAGGGTTCAGCCCAGAAGGTAGGGAGCGTCTGTCTGGGAACATCTCCAGGATTGTCCACCAGGGGGCGGAAAAACCATAAATAAAAGAAACGTAATAAACGCCCTAATAGACGCTCCCATGGAACGCCTAGCATCCTTACGGCCCCAGTCTCCATGCAGTCAGTCCCATTTTCCAGGGGAAAATACTGAGACTTAGAAAGAGGGTAGCCACTGGCCAGGTCTCCCTGACAGTTGTTGGCAGAGCTTGGCCCAGGCTGCCCAAAGGATGGGGCACATGCAGGTTCTGGCTAAGGTCAAATTGGGAGGTTCATGTCATGTCCTAGGATGGGAGAGAGTTGGGGGAGGGGGTGTTCCTAGCTGGGAGAACTGTGTTCCTCTAGAATGCTGTGTGGTCCCAGGGAAGTGGCTTGACCTTTCTGAGCCTCAAGTTGGCTCCTCTTCTGCAACGTGAGGGCAAGATTTCTGAACACCGGAGTGTGACGCCTGAAGGACGTCCCAGGGCTTGAAAGCCATTGCAAAGCCTGGCACATAGTAGGTGCTCAGGAAATGAGTTCTGGATCTTTCCTGAGCCTCTCCTCCCTCCCATGGCTCTGGCTCTGAGTAACGACCAGGTCAGGATGGGCCTCAGGGACACCTGGGGTACTTGGGACCCTGACGCCCTCCCCAGGGTGCCTGGAACCCAAGGAGGCGGCCCCACCTCTCACTTCCTGTGGCACCAGCCACACCCTGCCCTAGGATGCCCTGGGCAGCCCACTTCCTCCTCTAGCCAGAGCTGCAACCTCAGAACCTTCTGGACAGGGGCGAGGACAGACGGAGCAGGATGGATAGGCTCTGGACTAATCCCGGCCCACTCTCCCTTCTCGCGGCTCTGGTCCCCTCGCTGGTTCAGGCCCAGCCCTGTAAGGCTTTGGGAGGGAGTTGGGGTGGGTGGGGAAGGGAGCCCTAGTCTGGCGGCCCCAGTTAGCTGACCCCGCCCTGTTCCCCGCCCGCAGTGGCCCAGCGGAAGCCGTGGCTGGTGGGGCTGGGGGCTACGCTGGCCTTCCTCTTCCTCATCTTTGTCCTCACCTTGGTCTATGCCGTCTGCTGCAGAGAGTCCCGGGAAAGGTGGGTCGTCATTTTTCTGAGCCCTTCCCTCCTGAAATCTCTAAACCTCTCCCCTCTGAGCCCCTCCCCTCTCCAAGCCCCTTCCGTTACTGAGATCCTCGCTTCTCTGAGCATCCTCCGAGGAGGCAGGGCAGGACCAGTGGGTAATTATTCTTTGATTTAGAATCGATGGGGGTCTCACATAATCTCACTGACTTTCCTCCTGACTATCTACCTGCAAAAAGAGACTGGCTTCCTCCCAGAGAATCCCATTCCTCATATGTGTTTCAACTGGGATCTATAAAGTCTTTATCACATCCCCAACCCCACTCATCTATCCACCCATCTATTCACATCCACTTGTCCATCTATTTATCCATCCACCCATCCATCCCTCCCTCCCTCCAGCTGTCCATCATCCATCCGTGATCTCTCCCTCCCTTCTCTCGCCTTCCCTCCCTCCATCACCCATCCACCCATCCATACATTCATCTGTTCACCCATCTGCTCATTAGCCCATCCACTAATCCCTCAATCCATCCTCTCATCCATCAATCCATCCCTCATCTCTCTGCCCATCCACTCAACCATGGTTTTGACACCCAGGAAGTGGGGGGGCAGGGGGAGTAGACGTTAAGAGCTTGGTTTGGGATCATGCAACTCAAGCGGGGGTTCCTGCACTTCCTTAGTGTCCTAAGCTGCCTGAGCCTCAGCATCCCCTCTGTACAATGGGAACAAGCTTGCCTGCAGGACTCAGAGGTTCTGTGAGACTCGTTAAGAGGCCTGGACCACTGTCAGTCCTTTTCACTTTGGTTATCTTGGCCCCTCTTGTCTCCACAGCAATAAAGATAAGGAAGAGGAGACTGTGAGAAAGGAGAAGGAGGGAGAGGGTGACTGGGGGCTGGAACTAGAGGAGAAAGAGGAGCCTCCGAACCATGAAACAGTGGCGAGCTCTTCCACATGAAACCTTTGCACCTGCCTCCACCAGGCAGCCCCCAAGGGATGCCCCAATGCCTTCTCCGTACCCTACTGGCAAAGACCTGGTCCTGGGGCAGATGAGATGACTCTGTCTGGGATTCAGGGTAGAGCGCCCCTGAGTGCAGAGGACTCGGGACCAGCACAAGCCCCTCTTGAAGGGCTCTCTGCGTGCTACTTGGCCATGACACACTCCTTCCCAAGCTCGGTCTTCACCTGGTGATTCTTTCTGAGCATGGAGGGCACCCCTGGACAAGGAGCTGCCTGCATGTGAGACCCCCACTATCTCCTACCTCTGCCCAGTCTGCACCACAGCCATCTCTCCTTGCCCACCGCCTGAGTTCTTCTCCCACTTCTGGTTTCTATTGCCCTTTGGATTTCATCAGAGAAGCCAGCTCCTCCTGTTGCTCAGGAGCAAGCGCTTCCAAGAGCTTTTGAGGCCTTGCTTTGACGAGCCCACAGGAATCACCTGGCTCCCAGCCCCTCCGCAGGTCTTGGTTTGCCAGGTGCCAGGTGGAAGCCAGGAGAGTCCCTGGCTCCTGCTACCTAAGCGTCCTTTTCACTGGGAAGAGGGATAGTGGGGAGAAACTGTGCAAATGGTTCTGCAAGTCTTTGCAGGAGCCAGGGCAGATCCAGCCCTCCTCCTGAAGTCTTGCTCTTGCTGCTCCTGAACCTGAACTTTGAGCTAGCTCAGAGCAGGGCCGTTTCCTGGGAGTCGAGGGCCCCTCCTACCACGTGCTGAGTTTCAGGGTGCTGTCCTGGAAGCTGGGGCTGCCGGGGGCTGGGGCGAGGGTGCGGGGGTGGAGGTGGGGGGACGCAGCGTCATCGCCCCTTCTTCCTGCCCTGCACTCCTGGTGGGGGCTCCACGGAGAAGGAGAAGGAGAAGGAGCTGGAGTCCCAACTTCCTTGCTGTGTAGCCCTGGGACAAGTAACCGAACCTCTCTGTGCCTGTGTCCTGTTCCGTAAAAGGCAAGGATAATAGTTAAATCCTTCAGAAGCTGTCATGAGGACTGAATGAGAAATACTGTCTACAAAACTCCTAAGCGCAGACCCCAGCACCCCAAGGGCGGCTAATAAATGCCAACTTCTTGTTACGCTGAAATAGTGACGCTGGGGCGGAGCGCACGGGCCTCCCTCTCAGGGTGGGGGCCCCTGACTGTCGGAGGCTGTGTTTTCAGACGGCCGCTCTGGCAGTGGAGTTTTCTGCCTCCCGTCTCCTCCGGCGAGGCTTGGGGCTTCCGGGTGGGTGACTGTGCTGAGGGGGGCGGGAAGGGAGAGGGACGGGCTGTCTGGGCTCCTCCCTTTCCGCAGGGCGAGACTTCCCCACTAGGGGGCGACTGGGACGCTTGGGGAGGAGGTGTTTTTGCTTGTCCCAAGCCTGCCCCTTTTTATGGCATTTAGAAGGGAGCCAGTGCTGGGACAGCCCCTCCAAGCCAAACATTGTTTCACTCCAGGGGCCAGTGGCTGAAAAACAGAGGCTTTCCTTGAGATTAAAGGCCAGAATGAGCCCCCCACCCCGGCTGAGCCGGGACCCCAGATGAGCTTCCAGCTCCCAGATGAGCCCTCCATCCCAGCTGAACCCCCACCCCCCCGGCTGAACCCCGACTCTCGACTGAGACTGTCACCTCCGAACTGAGCCCCTCACTCAAGATGAGACTTACCCCACCACCCAGCAGAAAAACTCCTGGCTAGAGTCCCCCGTTCCCGCTGCAGGGAGGGGAGGGCAGGACTATGGGGACGGGGCCAGCTGACCCTTCGGCCTGGTTTCTGGGTCCAGGTCCTAGGTCCTCCCACAAGGGGACGCCAGAACCTCGCTGCCGAGCGCAGAAGCATCCACCCCACTTAGGGGTGGGGCGTGGGAAAGGTACTTGCCCATCTGGGGGCCTCGGATCCCCCACCCCTGACCCTGCAATGACTGTGTCTCTGTGTCTGGTACCGGGCGGCAGTGGGGGGCCACGAACCTGCGTGTCGGCACTGGCACACGACACCTGGGTTCCTTTCAGCGCGTCTTGAGGGCTCTCCGTGCCTGTTTCCCCCTCAGTGGAAGGCAATGCAAACACCCCTCCCAGGTAGGATGGAAGCAGCCTGTGCAGCGGAGGGCTTTGACTGCACGCCTTGGGGTCCCTGGGGGACTTGGAGGGGGGACAAGGGTTCAGATCCCAGGCCCCCAAGAAGAGGAAGTAACATACCCAAGATGCTTCCCTGACCACAGCCTTTGAAAAGTTCCTGTGGCTTCGGGGAAGGAGCTGAACATGGACACTGCCAGCTCTGAATGGTCAGGGGTGAGGTGGGAGAGACTGAAGGGCTGGGGTGCTGGGAGGTCAAGTAGCTGCTCTGCCCGGGCAGGTGGGAAAGGCCTCCTGGATGAGAGGGTATTGGAACCAAGTTAAGTCCCGCTCCTCGTCCTCTGCTTACAGCTCTCCATGGCTCCCACCTGCCTTGGGTTAAAAGCCCAAATCCTCCTCCAAGGCCCTGCATGACCTGCCCTGTCCCCTCCCAGCTCTCACCTCCTCCTCTCCTCCTCGCTTACTCTGCTTCAGATACACAGGTCTCCTGGCTGTTCCTCTAACACACCAGGCATGGTGCTGCCCCAGGGCCTTTGCACTGGCTGTGCCCTCTGTCTGGAAAATTCTTCTGCCACATTTTCAATGGGGTGTTTCCCTCTCCTCTAATCAAATCTCGGTTTAAATGTTACTTCCTCATGTGAGGCCGACTCTCCTATCCCTTCCTCTGCTCCATTTGTCTCCCTGGCACTTAATCTCCTCTGACATACATTTATATTGTTTCTTGTCTATCTTCCCAACTTCGAAGTGTAAGTGCCAAGAAGGCAGATCATTTTGGGCGTTTTGTGTCCCCAGTACTTCGTATCCAGTAGATACTCAAGAAATCTTTGCTCAATGGATGTGAGTTTGCTAGGTGGGAGAAAAAAAAAGTGAAGGCATTCAGTGCATTTGTGGAGCATCGACTGTGTGCCAGGCTCTGTCCTTGGAGCCAGGGAGGAGGTGAAACTCTCTGTGTCCGGCACAGAGCAGGTGCTCCATAGATGCCCATGGAATTTGTTGATCAAAGACTCTGGGGAATTCTGAGACTGGTAGGGAAGAGAGCCAGGCTTGGGGGATAGTGGGAAGGCTTCCTGGAGGAAGAGGATATTGCTTTGGGATGCTAAGGATCAGCACAAATGGGAGAGGTAGTGATGGGTAGAGGGGACGCAGGGGCAAAGGCGTGTGAAACAGCCCATCCCAGGAACGGGCACTCCCTGGGGGGCCATCTTAGGCACTGCTAAGCACTGAGCAGCATTCCTGGGCCCCACTCACTGCCAGGGGCACCCTCCAGTCATGACAACCACAGATGTGTGCGGATATGGTGGAATGTCACCTGGGGGACATTTGATTTAAAGGTCTCAACACTTGCCTGCTCCTTCAGTGTTGGGGGTACCAGTTCTCTGAGGCCACCTGCCCCTCCAGCCGCTCCCCTTCACTTTGGCACAGAACAAAGACCAGCCCAAACTGAACACAGAAAGGAGGATCCAGGACAGCTAGAAAGAGTCGAAGCATAGCTTGTTTAATTTTTATACATTTTTTTCTTTTTTCTTTTTTTTGCCTTTTATTGAATCTTTTATGGAACCCCCCCTTTTTCATTTTTTTCATTTTTTTTTTGCATAGGGAAACAAACAAACAAAATAACAGCCAGAGTCACTTTCTGTAAATGGTACTTAGGTAGGCGCGTCCGCGGAAACCGAAATGACTGCGTAATATACAAGGTTATGATTGGAGTATGATGCGAGGGAGCAGGGCGGGGGGCCGGGCAAGGGAGAAGGCTGAGCTTGGGTCTGCCCAGATGCCCCCTTGTCCCCCATCCTGTCCCCACCCTGTGGAGGAGGAGGAGGAGGGGAGGAGGTGGGCAGTGGGCTCAGCCGGAACCTTCTCCGGACATGGGTTCATGAGCATGGTGTGTGTGTGTGTGTGTGTGTGTATGTGTGTTATCCGGTGTGTGCGGCAAGCAGAAAGCAAGAAACAGAGTAAACTATCCTGGTAATATTGGTAAAATACAAAATAAGGAGGAAAAAAAACCTCAAAAAAATCTCAGAGGAAAAAGAAAATTAATAGCAACACCAAAAAATTTTAGAAAGAAAGAAAAAAAAAAAGAAAGAGAGAGAAAGAAGGAAAGAAAATTCAGAGGGAAATGGGTCTCTCTCCCTTCTCCCTGTTACCCGCCAGGCCGTGTCCTGTCCCTCTGACACCCTGCTTGTCCCACCCCCACGTGCGGTCCTGGGGGGGCAGGAGGGCAAGAAGATGGGGGGTGGGGGCCAGGACCCCTGGATTTCAAGGGGCTTTGGTTTGGGGGGGCCTGGCTGGGACTCAAGATGGGAGGATGGTGTGTTGCGTTTTGGGAACGGGCTTTGGGGGCTTACAACTGGGGGGGTGGGGAGCTCCCGTCCCCTTTGCAGTGGGTCCCCCTCTAGCCAGGGGCTGTCTGGAGGGGCTGTTCGGAGGGCAGCTTGTTGGGTACTTTGGGGACGGGGAGTGACTTCTTTCCTCTCCTGGAGCCTTTATTCCTGTTGGATCCCGCCTCCTCTTTCCTGAGGCCTGGGGGACCCCCAGGGAGTGGGGGAGATGAACCCCAAAGCCTACCAGCAGACATGTGAGGCACTGCTTGGGAAAAGTCTGTTTTGGTATCGCTGGCAACAAGTCCTGCTGGGATTGCTTTGGGTCCGTCTCCCTGACTCGCCCGGGGAAGGGGTGGGGGGGGTGGGCCTCCGGGGCCAGCTCGGACCCCACACACTCTGAAATGCTTGGGGGTAGACGGGCGGGGGAGGCGGTGTCAGCTTGGAGATGAGACTCTCAGGAAGTGTCCAAAGGCGCGGAAACGCGGAAAAGTGGGAGGGTGCTGGATCTGAGGATGGGTCTCTGGAACCTCTCTCCCATTACCCTCCCAAAAAAAAAAATTAAAAATCAGGGTCTCAGAGAGAGAATCCAGGCCAAAATAAAAAGTAGCCACTGTATAATCTGTATTATGATAAAAAATTCCAAAATTATATATATATATATATGTATAGTATAGCCCTACACTGGAGGTCAAAGTACCGCTGGAAAAGTGAGAGTGGGGGGCAGGGGGTCCTGTGCGCTGTCTCTTCCAGAAGGCTGCACGGTTGCTCCTGGCCCCGGGATCCTGCCTCACTGGCCCCTGCCCAGCCAAGCTGGCTTGTTCCTGGAACATTGCTGTCTCTCGGGGCGGAAAGTTCCGGAGCAGGGACGGGGACGCCGAGGTTGGGGCTGTCTGCTCCTTGGGGAGCTGCAGCAGCCCCTCCTCGCCGAGTCTCCTCTGGGCTTCCTTTTCGGGTCTGATTGTCTAGCTCAGGGTGGGAAACTGGGCTCAGAACTCGGCCAGAACCTGGGTTCCAGATCTGGACGTGGGGAGGCCCTGGCTCCCCATCTCTCCAGCCACACCTCCCTCTCCACCCTGGCTGGGGTCAGGCGCCCTCACCCACAGAGGGATGGGGGCAGTCCGCGTACAGTAGGGGTCTCCCTAGGCTCTTCCACAGCATGGGCCAGGCAGGGGGCTCTGCGTGGATGCACAGTGGCTGAGCGGGTGACAGCGGGCTGGAGGGGGGAGGGGGTTTCAGATGTCAGTTTCACACATGTCAAAAAAAATCCAACACCCTGGTGGCTCCCCTCCAGAGCAGGAGCCGCAAGTGCAGAGGTCGGCAAGGGGCCCGGTTCCTAGTGTCTCTGCAGTCCTGCCTGCGGCAGGGGGCCTGGGGATTGGCCGGATGGGACGCCGCAGCTCTTCTGAGCGCCTGGGGAGGACGTGCCTGCCACACTCAGCTGGAGGAGCCGAGAACGCACAGCTGGGGGCAAGGGAGGGGGCATTCTGGGGCCCGAGGTGCTCTGGGGTCTGGGCCATGAGGGACAGTGGTCCCCAGGAGGCCCTCGGGGAGGGGTCCTGCCAGGAGGTGTCACCCATCCCTCTGCCACGGGCTGCTCGCCCGCCCCTAGGGGTGGAGGGCTGTGGGGCATGGAATAAAAACCAGAAATCAGCCCCATGGAAACTGACAAGCAGGGCTCTCAGGCCAGAGGGCAGCTCTTAAGGGCAGTGTCAAGGCCGGCTGAGGCCACTGTCTTGACGCTCCCTCTGTCCCCTGGGACTTACTGAGGTGTCCTTCTGGAAGAACACATGGCATGAGCGTATGGTGGAGGATGAATGCCGGGGTCTCTCTGCAAGGCCCCACCCGGCTCTGGACACAATTCTAAAGTCTGAGATGGTGGCACGAAAAATGGATGGGGACCGTCTGCTCGGTGTGTCCTCACAGGAGATGTCTGAGGGGCTCAGGGGCAGGGAGGGCCAGAGGTGGTGAGGAAGGAAGGCCTGAGGTTGGAGGACCTGGCCCTTTGGTCCTCCTGCCCCGATACCCCACTAACTGTCTGCTACCGTCTCAGCTTTGGTTGAGTTAAAGGCAAAGGAAACTGGAAAGAGGAAAAAAAAAAAGAAAAGAAAAGAAAAGAAAGAAGAA